AAATTGCCCCCCAATATTAATTCTTTTCTGGAGTTTGTTGCTGGTTTTGGTTGCTATGCTCGCCTCTCAGTGAGGGAGAGAGAGAGAAAGAGAAAGAGAGAGAGAGAGCAACACAACCCTGAAAAAGGGAGGGGGAAAGCCAGTGGCCAAACCTTGGATTATGCCTGCTCCAGTAGACAACCATCTCTCTCTCTCTCTCTCTCTCTCACACACACACACACACACACACACCACTTTGGTCTCTAATGAGCTGAATTCCACTAAGTACTTACTGAAAGATGGTGAAGCTAGGGAAAACAGTAGCCCATTAATGGGTTGTCTGTGTCTCTCTGTTTGTGTGTGTGTGTGTGTGTGTGTGTGTTTGCGAGACAATAATAGATAAAAAGAGGGACAGAGACAGATCAGAGGCTGAGAAGCAAACAAGGCAATGAATACAGAGTTTTGGGCTGCCTCTGATCGAATGAATGGCTGAGGTCAAACGCACAATAGAAAACACACAGAGATGCATTTGGCTTCAGTACTAGATTCAAATGGGTTCCACACTGTGGCTGGATCTTGGATCACAGTACAGGGTCCCTGCAGTTAAGATCTCCCTCCCCAAAATGTCTGTTTGGAGCCAGGGGCAATTTTCTACTCCAGCAGTAACAGCAAACAAACCTGTATCAGTTCTTGAGCTGACATACATACTACTGCTGTTCCTCGCAGTATCCTTTCCTTATTATTTTCTTTAATAGTTAAAATCAGAAAATCAGCAGCTGGACACAGACAGATTTATCATTTTCAAATATTTTATTAATTTATAATATGACTTACAAAGAGAATACAAAAGCAAATATTAGGGAAATTAGGAACAGAAAAAGAGAAGTGGATAGTGGGGGAAAACAAGGGAAAAAGGAAAAAAAAAAGGAATTGACTTCCGACTCCTTTGGTGCAGTAAAAATAAGGCATTAAGATCTACCCTCAACTTTGTACTTTTTATAGATGTTCATTTAATTATTTTAAAAAATATATAATGACTCTCTACAATGAAATGGGGCTTAGTTTCAATGATACCCACAGTGGTCGAACTGCAACTGCTTGGAAATCATTTAGATCTGGATTCTAAAATCATTTTATTACACCACTCACTGGTGCCTGGTTAGATGTCTGCAGAGGAATGGTTGAGTAAACAATTAATAGATGAAGCTTCAGAATACATTGAGAAATGCAACTGGGAGGGCGGGGAGGCAGATCCCCATTTTTAGAGGGGTGATTTAATTTGGAGAACTGTAGTTGTGCTTTAAAGGGAAACCAACTTCTCTCGCCCACCCCCAAGAGGCTGTTATATTTAAAAAAAAAAAAGGGGGGGGAATGGATAAAACCTTTAGAACTCTAGAATACATGTGTTCAGGAATGACCCAGAATCCAGTGACAAATTACTTGATTTAATTCAAGTAGCAGCCATGCGTGCATATATGAAAGCAGCAACAGGGTGCAGGGTTTTTTTGATGTCTTTGAGTAACTTTTGGCTCCTGGACAAGTCTTCTGCAATTTTCTTGGTAAGGTTTCAGAAATGGCTTGCCATTGCCTTCTTCCTAGGACTGACAGAAAGTGACTGTCCCGAGGTCACCCAGCTGGCTTTGTGCCCAAGGCAGGACTAGAACTCACAGTCTCCTGGTTTCTAGCCTGATGCTTTAATCACTACATCACGCCTGCTCTCGTAGCAACAGATACAATCATAAATTATTGATCTGGAGCAGCTCAATTTCTCTCCAGAAAGCAATACGATTTTGCCTAAAACTACCACTGAACCACGTTGACATTGTAAAAATGAGGTTGTGCCATCTTCTGGCCTTCGGAAGTTCTGGGAGCTTCACCACTCGAGACTTTCAAGAAAAGATTGGACTGCCATTTGTCAAAAATGGTGTAGGGTCTCCCGCTTGAGCGGGGAGGGGGGGTTGGACTAGATGACCTATAAGGTCCCTTGCAGCTCTGTTAATCTGTTCTGTAGTTCTGATCATTTAAAACTTACCTTGCAAAGGTTTGGAAAGAGGTTCAGCTTGTGAGTGGGAGTAATTAACCTCTAGCTTTGTTTGTTTGCTTTTGCAAGCCTATACAAGGAACATTACATGTAAGATAAGTGGGATATATGGTGTGATGGCAACAGTCAGAAAGGACAAAGGTATCTAAAGGAGGAGCCTCATACTGTATATGATGAAAGAGTGGTATGAAACTATATAGTTGAGAGGGGGGGGATCTATTGTGTGCAAAATGGCCTGATGCCCAGTGGTGGGATTCAAATAATTTAACAACCGGTTCTCTGCCCTAATGATTTCTTCCAACAACCAGTTCACCAAACTGCTCAGAAAGTTAACAACCGGTTCTCCCAAAGTGGTGCGAACCGGCTAAATCCCACCACTGCTGATGCCTCTTTTCCCTCCCCAACATCATTCCAATTAATAGCAAAACTATTTACAATAATGATATTATCTTTTTGGACTCTTGTGCAGTTCAATTCTGTTCACGAGTCTTGCTTTCCTTTATAAAATTACAATACTGAAATCTCCTCCTTTGAGCTTATTAAGAAGTCGAAGATACAGAAGGCCTTTAGATCGGTCCTTCATTCCTCCTTTTTAATAAAATAAATGGACTTGCAGCCTGGAACTAGGGGAATTTGAGATTTTACTATACACTTCTCCACTCTGTTGTTCTCCAGATGTAGGACTGTTATTAATATAATTCTTTGCCTTTAGTAATACTGGCCAGAACTTAATGGAACTGTGGTGTCCCAAGCACATAAACAGCATTAGATTGCTTACCGCAGTTCTAATAAAATCTTTTGTTTCCAACTGTGTCCACCCAACCAATTTAAAAAGCTCATAGGCACCTGGGAGGACATTCTAATTTACCTTAGTATTTCTTCTTGAGGATTATACTCCCTCTTAATATGGAATACAGTATTCATGGCCAAAACCACTAACTGACCTATCCCCATAAATGTGTCCAATTCCTTAAATCCAGATGTGGGCATCTGTGACCCTTCAAATATAATGGAACTTGTATTCCAACATGTAGAGGGTTACACACCCATTTCTCACTTTTACTTTGACTTTCTGTTCATAATGGTGGTGATGACTTCTCGCCTGTAATATTTCCAGCTCTCCAATTAGGACAAGCAATCCAAGTTGTTTATTTAAAAACAAAACAAAACACATAAGCAGTGCAAATATCTTCCTCAATGGGTTCTGAATAAAGAATGCAGGAATAAAATAGTGGAAAATGTCTCCTGGCTTGGCTTTGCCTGCTATATCAGAAAAAGAAACCTCTTTCTAAGCCTTAAAATTATCATACACAGGTAGTCCTCAAGTTACGAGCACAATTGAACCCAACATTTCTGTTATTAAGTGAGACATTTGTTGAGTGAGTATTGCCCCATTTTATGATCTTCCTTGCCATAGTTGTTAAGTGACTCACTGCAGTTGATAAATTAGTAATCTGGTTGTTAAGTGAATCTGGCTTCCCCACTGACTTTGCTTGTCAGGAGGTAGCAAAAGGGCCTTCTGACAAACAACCTTGGAACACAGCAACGGTCATAAGTATGAACCAGCTGCTAAGCATCTGAATTTTGATCACATCAAAGGTTTGTTAGTGTGAAAAATGGTCACAAGTCAATTTTTTCAGTACTGTTGTAACTTTGAACTGTTATAAGTCAAGGACTACCTGTATGTCTATCATACCCTCTTTCTCTAATTTGCTTCAAAAAACAGATCAATGACCCTATGAAGACAAGTATTCAAAAGCTTTCAAAAAACCATTTGTACTAGGTAGGATACTTTTTACCATCATGAGCTACCTTAAAAGCTTTTTTCCAATGTCCATGGGTAGCAGGAGACATGACAATGATGTAATTTATACAACGCAAGGAAACCAACCTGGAGTGATGACATAGAAAACTCTCTTCTAAAACATCGGTCACTAACTGGTGGTCCACGAGAAAATTTTGGTGGTCTGCAGAAAAATTATTTGCATTTTTTATATTGTACTAAATTAGGGGTCCTCAAACTACAGCCCCTGGGACAGATACGTGCAATGAATGCTTGTGTTGGTGCAGAGTCTCCCCCTTTGGGGTCTTTTTGTGTGGGTTGAAGGGGGACAGAAATTCCGACTTGAGGTCTGCTTCAGCCTCCTGGTGCAGGGTTTTGGGCAAAGGCTGGAGGGAAGTACTGCTGGTGGCGAAGAGCCGGAGGGCCTTGTTCCAGTGGGACTGCCTCATGGCCTGGAACTGGCTGACCATCTCAGCCCGCTGAGCCTCCAGGCACTGGTAGCTGGCCTTGCACTCCCACAGATCTTCCCTCTGCTTGGAAAGCCTATGCTCGTAATCCTCAGTAAGGTGCTTTTGGTGAGCCTCCTTCTCGGCCAGATCCAATTTGAGCTGAGCCAGCTGTTTTGCCAACACTTTCTCTTGGTGGCTGCTGAGCTCCAACAACTGCTTCCTGTTGGGGCCCTAAGGAGCCGAGGCAGGCAGGCAAGGAGTGGCTGGGAGGGGAGGGGCGAGTAGAGGCCAGCGAGGCACATGAGTGACATCGAATTGGCCATGCCCACCCAGTCACATGACCACCCAGCCATGCCCATCCAGGTGGTCATTAGGCAAATCATATCAGTGGTCCGCGGGATTTAAAATTATGAATTTAGGGGTCCCTGAGGTCCGAAAGGTTGATGACCCCTGTTCTAAAACCCTGGAGAGGTTTAATAAAATAAAATAGCTAAGCCTTTTAAAATTTAACATGTCTGTTTTAAGGCCGATAAAAAAATAAGCTGCATATCATGTCATTATAAGTCTTTTTTCCAGAGATTCTACCTGACAAGGAAAACTACTGACCTATGAGTGAATGAGGTGAAGCAAAACCGAAGACACTCCTTTACATAAACAAGGCTGGGTAAATAAAAGTAATTGCTTTCCTTCTTTTTAAATCCCTCTACCCATGCAGCTTTCACTTTCTGTTACACAAAAAGACAGAGACTCTTTTTACAGTTTTGTATTTTTTTTTCTTCAGAGATTATTTTACAGTTTTGACTCCCGCAAGAAGGCACTTTCGATTGGCAATTTTATCACACACTCTCATTCATGATTAAAAATTCAGTTTGTGGTCTTCGGATACAGACAGCCTGAAAAACCCTGAATGGGGAACAATTTCTCCATTCACGGGGAAGAGAACTAGTAACATGAATAATGTGAGCTGTGGATGTGGCATCTTATTCAGCCACTTCAAAAACTCCAGGAGCATGGTTTAGCCCAGGGGTCTCCAACCTTGGCAGCTTTAAGACTTGTGGACTTCAACTCCCACAGTTCCTGGCTGAGGAACTCTGGGAGTTGAAGTCCACAAGTCTTAAAGTTGCCAAGGTTGGAGACTCCTGGTTTAGCCAACCTATCTCAGTTCCTTGACATATCTAGATGGAGATTTGTGTGGCTCCTTGGAGCTCTCAAGATGGCACTGAAAAACACAATCCCAGCGAAGTGCTGAGTTTACCAATACTCTGTTACAGTTGAAACTGGCTTGCTGGCAACTGAACCTTTAGCCTTCCTAATACAAGAAATGAAACAGGATGTGGGAAGGCAATTCTATGGCGAAAGTGAGAGAGGCATCACTCAAGCAACTGTTTAAAAGAGGGCTTGTTTGCTGCTACCCTGAAGGATTATGATGGGGTTTGGTTGGTATGAGAACCAGTCTCTGGTGGGAACGGAAAGCAGCGGAGAAAGGAAAAGTGGATAAAAGCACAAATATGTGAAAAAAGGAAAGTAGAAAGAAGAGAAAGAAGTTATTTCTCTTCCACGGAACAATTTTGGGCTCTGTATAGTTGATGCGAATGAAAAAAATGAGTTTTCTGTGCCATGAGACCATTGACTGGGTCTCATGTTAAGTCTTAGCCAATGTGGCTAGTAACACTGGCCCTGACCAATACTATGTGGATTATTTCATTCCTTTGCCTCAAAGTAGGGCAGGGGAGTGTTCCAGGCACTTGGTAGACACGGTAGAGGCTCTCTGAATAGAAGTATTAACTCATGGGCAGAAAACATTCCCAATGCATTTCCTTTTATATCAGAAATGACAATAAAGCACACAAAAATAATCACCATCTTCCATGAACAGCATTAAAATACAGCTATTTAAAAAATCATCATACTTCTTCCCATTCCATATTTTCCTATTTTTTTCCTATTATATATATATACACACATATATACATGGTATACATATTTATATAATCGAAAAACATGCCCAGTTAAAATTCTTTCTACATTCTGTAAAAAAAAAAAAAGTCATTCCCCACCACAATGGGGTGTACTGGGCAACTCCCTACATAGAATTTGGATTAATCTTAAAAGGGGATCTTTTGGTTTGTGGAAGCTAATGGGTCCAAGTTGGCCTCTGGCCTCTTTGGGGGGTGGGGGTGGGGGAGGGAGGAACAGATTTCTTGGTCCTGCCAGAATGAAGCAATTTCTCAATTTATACCATCAAACACAGCATTAAGGAGGCAACTGAGGTAGGGTGAAAAAAGGAAAAAAAGATACAGTTCAGGCCAAATTTAGCTACCCCAATGGGAAAAACTATGTACATGCCAAAGGAGGTTGATCCATTGAAGCAGCAAAGAAATATGCAGTCTAAGTTTACACAAAAGAAAATTCACTTTCTTAACAGTTTTCTGCCCAACGTGTGTGCATAAATTATAACCTTATTATTTTATTTTATTTTGCCCCCACAGGGATTTCTGTGGTAGGAGAAACAACAAAAATCAGCCTTAAAACACCACAAGAGAGTTCCTTGTTAATTCAACCCGACAATAATATAAATTGGCTTAAAAGATAATATGGAATGATTAGAGATCATTTTGCACTACATTTTACTTTTGCCTCACATCAAGTTCAAGAAAAAAAATATTTTAGAAATACTGTACATTTTAAAATGTGTTTTGATACAGTTTTGCTGCGGAAAACCGTGATACATTTGAAGAACTATAAAATCTGGAGAAAGTTATTCAATGCATATTTTCAGTGTTTCAATGCACGTTTATCCAGGAAGTGCAAATCTGGCAAGCCATTGAGAAAATTGCCAGGTTCAATTTCTCAAGGACTGCTAAGGAGAGACTTTAGACCTACACGGTCTTTCCATACAGTACTAGCAATAGATGCCATACCTGCAAGAAGCAGAAGGAGGGAAAAAAGAAGATGACAGTAGTCTTAAGGAAAAACAAAGCTTCTTTTCTTTGACCTTCATTTAGATTTCCTTTCTTCCACTCTCTTCAGATTGTTAGAACAATGCTGTTTTTTTTTAATGGTTCTTTTGGGGAAAAAATAAATAGAAAATAAAAAGGAACATGTTTATCTACTGTTCAAGGAATCTGCAGTTTGCATTGTTGAAAGATGACCTGCTGAATTTAATAATCAACTTTAAACATACCTGATCTGACAGCTGTGGTTGCAATGTCCAATTCAAAAGGTTTCTGAACCTCCTGTCATTCTTAGTAAGAGGGAGCAATATGTTAATCAGAACTGTCTGGTCAGGTGTAGGTCAGCAGTGATCAGATACATCAATCATTTCTGGTCCATTGTAACAGTAAATTTAATCGTTGCTTCATGTTGAAGAAGACAGTAATGAAGTTCAAAATGAGCTACTAACAAGCCACCAAGATCTGCAGAGTACCCTATGCCTGAGTTAGATTCTTGGGCATCTTAATAATAATAAAAAAAGAGAAATAGGCAAAGGCACAAGGAATTCTTACATCCCGAAAATATTTTAAGGCAAATTTAAGATGGCACTGGAGAGAAACCAAGGCAAATCCCTTAGCAGAAATAGTAACCAGGCAGAGTTCCAAGAAAATTCTTGTTTGGTATCAAAATTCTCTCCTATTAAACAGGCTTCAAAGATACTGAAAAAAAAATAGGAAGAAACATTGTGAACCACAAGGATGGGTCAGCGTAGTTTTGCTGAAGCATCCCCTTAAGGAACCCCCACCCACCCCCAGCACTGTGGACAAAGCAGCAGAAATGGAGACACCTCCTTTTGGCACACTAACTCTGCTTTCTCCTCCTCATGCTATACCAGCAAGTCTGTTGATTCTAAAAGGCACAATTTCCCCCACATACTCCGCAAATCCAGAAAGATTACAGATTTCTAGGGAGACAGTGGGATTTGAAGGCACCAACTGTAGAGCAAGACAAAAAAAAAACCACACACACACACAGTGGTCAAGGAATACACCTCCCACATCTCCTCTCTCTGTTTCATCTAATTCTGACTGATGTTGGATCCTGTCACTGAGAAGATTAAAAAAGGGGGCTTAAAGGTTGAAGGAGGAAGGAGCCAGGGCCGGCACAAAATGTGGTTCAGAGGACGATTCCAAAGCCTTCAACATAAATACTGTAGGACAGTATCACTAATCATTTCTCTAAGCTGTGGGAGGGATCTGTGGCTCTCCAGCTATTGTTTTAGGATCCCTTGTGTCTCCCACATGATGATCATAACAGGTGAGGAAACTATGAATGTTCCTCAGCAACATATGGAACCATGGGCTTCCCAGCTTCTGTTCTTTAACATTGGCTCTTAATTATAGAACTTGGCTGTTTTTAGAGACGACTATCCTTTCCTTCATTCTGTCCTTCCCATAGAATTTTCTTTGTCAGCCATATTTCACATCTCAAGGAGACCCTTCTCTGCCTCCCAATGCCCATCTCAGTCTTTCCTCCTAAGCAAATGTTTGTATTATGAACCACCTTATCCCAATACAACTGGTCACAGAAGTGGCCTGAGAGAACTATTTCCAGAGATTTAAAAAGAAAAGAAAAGAAAAGAGGGACTTGTAGGCTGGAGCTCCTTCAACTCCTCTTATTTTCTTGCTGGTAAAGGTGACATCGCTGTTCGCCTTACGTCTCAGCAGGAAGAAGCAAACCTGATTTTTTTTCCTCTCCTCCTTACAAAACATCTCCAGACCTTCTGTTGTTTAACTTAGAGGGGGGGGGATGAGTAAAACTGGGAATTCTTCCAGTCTCTCTCTTCTCCCCTCACCGTGTTTTGAAATTTAGGAATTTTCCCACAAGGGGAAGGGGAGATATTTTCAAGAGGAGCAAAAGACAAAACTGACCTCACGAATAGTCCCAAGAGATAGCTTATGTGTAATAGTTATACACGGTCCACAGCCCCTTTGCGAAAGATCCAGCTTAAATTTCAAGCCAAAAATCTAAGCCTTTTGATGAAGCAGAAACATTTTCTCCTTTAAGGATGGAGCCGAGTCCACTAAAACAGTCAACCCCCTGCTCACATCTTTCTATCACTTTTCTGTATCCATGCCCCGTCCACACCACTTTAGTTCTGCTTGTTCTTTTTAGCTTTTCTTCTCCACCTTTTCTTGAATGTTTTCAATCTGGGCTCTTCCTAGCCGATCAGCGATTTTAGAAATCACTTTTCCTGAAATCAGGACAATGGAGATATATGAACAGATACAACAATGAAGTGCAGTGAATACCGGGGAAAGAAACTTGTGTATCTTCCCCACAAGAGGGTGGCAAATGAGTGGAGAACTGTTCTGATTAGAAGGGAAAGGACCATAGTTGGATCATAGCTTTGGTCACATCGGATGTTTTGTGTGTGTGGAGAGAAAGGGGCTGAGGTCCTGGTTTCTGCAACCCATAATTCAAGGGGAGAAACTGTGAACCATAGCAGCAAGGAGGTTTCCTTTCTGGGGTTCAAGATCACATTCAGATGCTGAAGTTTCTTCTGGTGCCTCATGGGAATAATTGCTCTCTGCTGTCTCCAGCAGTGTTTCCTGGGCACTGCGTTGCTTGTCGAGGCCGAGGGAACAAGTCATCCTGCTCAGCAGAAGGAAGTAGCCAAAATGGGCACACCTACCCCTCCGACTTCCCCTGCCCAAAACCCTGCCCCTTCCATTGGTCACTAGCTAGTAGTCCGGTGCTGCTTTAGCACGGTATATACATCATCCACTTTGCTGAGTCTTTCAAAGAAAGGCAGAAGGTCAAGCAGCTCCGTGTCAGCCATGTTGTCGAACCACGAAGCCACAGGCACCTGCCAGGGGTGAAAAGAGGTAAGAGGTTACTGCATTGGTGGCTCTCGGTAATTCAAGTAAGGCTACCAGGAGCAGCTATTTTATGTAAGCACACTTCTTTATACGGTGCTATGGATTGCATATGATACTGCTCTACTATTTAGCTTTCAATTGAAAAACAACACACACGCTGCAGGATGCATGGTGTTAAGAAAAAGACCTCTTGGGTCCAAGTACCAAGTAGAAAACTACCCCCCTCCCCTTGCCTTCTTCTTCAGCCATATATTTTCAGGTCTGTTCAAGAGACAGTGCAGAGGGCAAGGCTTCCAAATTGATACGGTTGCCCGCCCTGCCCCAATTTAGCTCCCCCTCTACTTACAGCATTATCAGGGTGGAAGACATAAGAGGCCGGTGAATTGTCTACAATGATGATCCGTGTCAGATCGCGTCCCAGGCGGCTGAGGTCCTTGACGTAATTACCTCGGTGGAAGACACATGACTCGCGAAAGAGCCGAGCGCGGAAGGCTCCCCACTTGTCCAGCAGATCAGCCACCGGATCGGCATACTAAAATTGGAGGACCAACAGGTGATAAGGAAAAGTAGTTTGACTTGATTCTCCAGACGTTCTAATGGGAAGAGGGGTGTGTGTAGTATTAGGATACACTATTCATTCCTATTGATTTATTTCCTGCCAAAATCCTGAATGTTTTGTATTCTGCGGGGCTAAATTGGAAATAAAGATTAGTAAACTCTTTCCCCAGAAGAGGTCTGGTTTTTCCAACTAATTGTTAATTAAAGCAGACTTCTACTGATGACTTCATCCAGATTGCCTTTCAATTGCAAAAGACAGAGAAAAATCCAACATCTACAATACAGGTAGTCCTCGGCTTACAATCATTCGTTTAGTGACTTTTCAAAATTACAATGGCACTGGAAAACTGACTTACAACTGGTTCTTGCATTTATGACCATCGCAGCTTCCCCACTATGATGTAATCAAATTTTGGGTGCTTGGCAATCACCGTGTCTATGGTCTATTTATGTCTATGGAGATTCTCAGTCATACAGGTCATGGTTGCATTTAAAAGACAAAGGCCACTCTTTTGAAGACAGCAAAGTCCACATTTTGGACAGAGAGGACCACTGGTTTGAAGGAGGGATCAAAGAGGCCATCTATGTCAAAACTGAACAGCCCTCTCTCAACAGAGGGAGAGGGATACAACATTATCTATCTCCAATCTACAACACAGTCCTTTTAGCAATTCCAAGGATGCTCCACACCCATTTGTACTACTCAGGTGACCCTGAAAATACAGATAAACTTCCAGGTGGCCTCAACGATTCATTGAAAGAATGCAAATGACCAGCTCTCTGCAAGGAGTATAAATCCTTCCATTCCCCGCCATCCAGTCAGAGCTGAAGAAGCTTCTTGGATGAGAAGTGAAACGTCTTCAAAGAAAAACCAGAAAGTCCAGTTGCCTCTTGAAAAAGCAACTTTGGGACTGTTGCAGCATCCCAGGGTAATGTGTTCATCATTTGCAACCTTCTCAGCTGACTTCTGGCCAGCAAAGTCAACGGGGGAATCTGGATTCACTCAATGACCAAATCTCACTTAACCACTGCTCTGATTCACTTAACAACTGTGGCAAAAAAAATCATAAAATCAGGTGCGCCTCCCTTAACAAATGCCTTGCTTAGCAACTGGTCCCAATTGTGATTTTAAGTCGAGGACTACTTGTCAAACATTTGCTTCTTTAGGATCAAGGAAAATGGTACAAAAGAATGTCTCAGCTTTGAAATATTTCAGAATTTTTCAACGAGCAAAATATTAACAGAAATCCTGGGGTGAAGTGAAAATCAAAAGCACAGAGTCTTGTTTCAGATGAGTGGAAATAGCTTTTTACTGCAGCTTGCAAGAGGGAAGATGGATCTTGGGGACCAGGATTTCTGGATTAATTCTGAGTTTAGAATGGATCAGGAGCTTAGCTGGATAGAAAGGTTGCCATGAGCATCTTCTTAAACTCTCTCTTTCTGTTGGCTAACTTTCTCCAAATTGAAGGCCATTACTCTGAACACTTCATGAGAAAGCAGGATGATAGGAGGAGGAGAATCGTACCTTTGCCAGGCTAGCAGTGAAGAGTACACACTCAAAGAGCTCACCCATCCGCCTCAGAAACTCATCCACATGGGGTCGCTTCAGTACATACACCTGGTGAGAGTAAGAGAGGTCATGGAAGGGGATCATGGAACAAGCTGAAGATGGGGGCTCCACATCCTACCTACTTGGCCAACAAACCAATGGACCCAGTTCCTGTCAAAGAAGGCAGCGCTCAGCATCAGAATAAGCCTCCCTGAAGACTAGATGGCAAAAGTGGTTGCCCAGAAAATAGGCTGATATTTATTTATTTATGTAACATGCATATGTATACTCCGCCTTTCTTCCAAGACTCTGGGTGGTTGACGACAGCAATCGAATAAAATATCCTAACAGTCAATAAAGCCCTGTGTATAAAAACAGCCACAAAACTGGCTCAAGCAATAAAACCTGATCAGAGTAAAATATCAACTAAACAAGATGGCTGAATCACTAAAATTAGGGTCTCTCCTCCCCCCCCCACAAACAAAATGGATTTCCCTGCCTAATGGAAAACCAACAACAGAGAGACTAGGTGCATGTCCAGCAACGAGATGTTCCTGTGAATTGGGGTCACCTTGAAGATGCTTTGCTTTCAGTTCATGTCCTCCTTACTTCACAAGGGGTGGGGATCCTAAGTATCTCCTCCTCTGAAAGACCACACAGAGTGGGTAGACGCCATTTGGAGGAGGAAGCCCCTACAGCAAACTGGAGCTGCTCCTTATAGGACTTGATAGGTTATAGGCAGATCTTTGAATTGGACAGACAGCAGGAGTATGTCTCCCTGTTAGTAGGCTGACCACTAGGATCAGTACCAACTCTAGTTTGCAAGCCCCTCTTCAAAAGCAGCCCCATGTAGAAAACCTGTTGCAGTGCTCTGAAAGTGTCTTGCCAAGAGCATGAGTCACAACTGCCAGGTAAAGGTTGCAAATGTATCAGCCTAGCTAGGTAAATGTCCCCTGGCCATGACCTCCACCTACTGCTCCAGCAGGAGACATGAATCCTGGAGGAACCCAAGTCACTGGCATTTTCTACAGTGTTCTATAGGATCATATTCAGAATTATCACTGGAACTGATTGCTCCTGGATAAACGGTACCTCTGGGGAGAGAAAGGCAGAGATAAGAAAGAATGCAAGATCCCTCAGCAGATTAAAAGGTTAGTAAATGACACCTCGGCCTGAGAAAAGTCAGAGAAAGAGGCCCATAATAAACTCACCTTGATTTGGTATAAGAGAGGGCAGAGGGAAGGGTTTGAGGATTCAGTTCTTATGCCCATATAACAATTAGAGTTCTGGGACTCCTTGCTGGGTCTTGTTTTCTGATCTGGCCTTCCTTGAAGGGCTGATACTCAGTCCAGAAGAAGAATGAGTTTAGCAAGACTGCCAAGCTCCAGACCTATTCATGTGAGGGAGGGCAATCCTAACCAAAGCTAATCAATGTTTTAGAAGCTCCAGCTTGCTGGGATTTACTTTCAGCTTGTTTCTATCATCCAGATCGCCAACCCCCCCAGACACTGGGTTAGGGCTTCACAGCAGAGAGGACAACATGCTGTTGAGCATCATGAGGATGTTGAGGATACCTCACTTCAAAGTGACAGATGATCTCTCACCAAGGTTTCATACAGAAGTTAAAACAGCACGAGAATGGCACTCTTGGGCAAAAAGAGGGGACCGTGTGGATCATCCTTCTCTTGTAATAGTAGCCCAGAATTATCCTTGCCACACTTCACTCTGGTGTAATCGGTTGTGAGACTAACCTTAAAGAACAGGAAGAAGAACTGTAGCCAAGGCAATAGTTGAATAAGAGAAAATTTTGACTAAAGTGTGGAATTTGAGAAAGCATCTCAGATTGGACCCTCCCTAATTTTCTTTAGGATAAAGGCAGGGAGGGGAGAGGCACATTCAGAGTTGCACGATTCTGTTACTATGATCCTATAATAAAAGTTCATTTTATTATTCATGACTTTGGTGTCCAAGCCTGGTCTACCTCAAAGGACTGATACCCTCCAGAACACTGAAGACATAGGGTCTCCAACCTCAAAGCCCTTAACTGACCTATGAAACAAAGGCACTTCTAGATAGGGTTCTTCTCTGGCACTTGCTCTGATTTTACTTATTTAATTTTTACCAAGCACAGAGATAGAGATCAAGATGTCCTCTGCCTTGAAGATCATCCGCAATTTAAAGAAAGGCTGGGAAAAGACAGTTTGTACCCTTTGCACAACAAATCAAAGCGAGAAGATCCCCCCATTTCAACACGCAACACACAACATCCATCTGAAAGGGTTCAAACTCCAAGGTACGGAATGATGCCACTGGGCAATCTCATCTGAGAACTATTCAAAGCATGCAGAGCTGTCGATTCCTCTTTGAAAGCGAGCACGTAAAACTGTCATGTCCACTGTGATTGATGTTGCTGGCTGCCTCCAAGGCCAAGTAATCGAGAACAGGCTGATTGCAGTACCTACAGCCTATCCTGGATTACTTGAACCTAGCCACAGCCTTTGTAAATGGGAATAGCAATCACGATATATATGGAGGTTTTGGATTTCAGTCTCGGCTCCATCACAGCTCAGCCTGACCGGTGTTTAGGAGTATAGAGGAGATTTCCGTATGTTGAATCAGACCATTGGGGTTCACATGATCAGACATATTTTTCTTAACGGTCTAGACATGCTGGGGTTGAGGGGAAGATCTTCTCATGGAAATCAATGCTGACAGTACTACCAGATGGACCTTTCCCCTCACGCTGCTGTCAAGGGGTTTCCCATAGCAACCATTACCGATTCAGATTTAATGTGAAATTTGTCTGCCACACTAGGGCCATCCAGGCTGGCCAAAATCTCTCTTCTCCCATTTTCCAGCATAGATTCCATACCTGGTGCATGACCCCGTCAATCTCCACTGGGATGATGAAATCTGCATTGTTCACCGGCTAGAGAGGAAGAAGGAAGCACAAGGTGAATCACACCTTCTAAAAGACTTCTTCCCACTACCCATCTCCCTGGTTTTGAAAAAGTTATGTTGGAAACACTTCCTGGGTTTCTGAAACAACATCAGCTTCAGATTTTGCTCTGCCAACAAATAAGTCATGTATCTCCTTCCTTCATCCACTCCAATAGTTTGGAAGAACTAAATTTGGGGAAGACTGCTCTGATGAAGAAAGTTTTAAAAATATAGCTGTTAAAAATCTCACTTAATAGAACTGCCTGGAATGAAAATCAGCAAAGAGGAGGAGGAGGAGGAGGAGGAGGAGGAGGAGGAGGAGGAGGAGGA